TCTAGAATTCTTATTTTTATATTTTAATTCATTCTATTTATTCAATTGTCAACAATAATATTCCAACGGAGCATTCATCTATCAGTAAGTTATATAAAGGGACACTTCTATACGTCTGTCCTGGAAACTCTTGATACTTGACGACGTGATACTTATAAAGCTTTTTCTAGTTATTATCTCTAAAAAATGTCCTTGCGTATTAGTATATGAAACTTTTTTCGCACCATCCGTGTAAGCTATTTAACTTTATTAATGTGAAAGATTTAATCCACCATTCTTTAGTGATTGCAATGGAATGCGTAAACATTACTCTGTTTAAATCTATTTAGTAAATACCATAATTCTAAAGACGAATAACTAATAGATTATGAATAGAATAACTAGTCAAAATTTAAGTTTCAATTGTGGTCAATTTTCATTTTTTCTTTTCATTCTTTCCTTGTAATCACCAAATAAGCAAGATGCTTTTTTAAAAAGTACATGCTTATTAATAGTTGTACTGACAATTAAATTAACAAGTATACATAAGGATATTAAGAATCAAAAATAAAAATTAAAGAAATATAATTGAAGTATACGAGTTCAATTATCCTATTATAAAGGATTTCCGAAAAGATTCTATTTGTAAGTAAATATCAAAAATTATTTTCTGTATTTTTATGCAGTAAAATTATTACAAAATTTATAACAAGTTAAAAGACAAGATAAAAGTTTGTAAAATGAATTAAAGAATAAAAATGGGATTTTCTTCAAAACTAAAATTAAAAATAATAAAGAAATATACTCTCAAATAGTAAAACTGAAGTACGTTATTTACGACAATAAAATTTTACTTTCAATACTTTTTCATCTTAATAGATTTAACGAAGTAATGGCAAAATATTCTTATTTTTAATACACTGGATACTTAATTTTAAGGAATAGTTAATAATAAAATTTATTTTTATGTACATTCAACCTTTTTTCAAAATTTAAACAGTTACAAAAATCCAACTAGGCAGAGAAACATATTCGTCATGAGCTTCCTTCGTACGTTATACAAACTTACTAGAAGGTAGAGTTTCCTTGGTAAAATAAAATGGTCGAGGAGAGTGAAGAAGGTCCATGACGAGTGATAGGGATGACGACGGAGCAAAAAAAGGAGAAAAAATTAGGGTGTAAAAGTAAAAGTGAGAGAGAAATAGGAATGAGGGCATTTTGAAGCATAAGAGAACGAGCGGAGAAATTCGCGATTGGCGTTGCGTCGTCGAGGGGTCGTGATTGTTAAGGGATACCACCACTACCGGGTGCTTCGTGTTATTTATCTTTATGGACCTCGGGCAGAGGGTAAGTACACTTATTCGTTTGGGGGTAAGCTTAAGCTGTGAAGGGCGCGGTAAGAGATTGTTTGTCGTATTGGCTGCGGTTCCAGTTCTGAGGCTTACGTATTATCCGTTTAAGAGTGGGGCCAAATTCGCTTGTGTGATTTTGTATGAGGACAAGAAGGAGAAAGAACGTGATTTCACTTAGGAGACACTCGATAACATCAATGCTACTGATCTGCCCTAATGAATGACTCCTTCTCACCGAACACACGATAATTATTTTAATTTCCTTATTGTTTCTAGTGACCAAACATTATTTTATGGGGGAATTTCCTTACTTCTCTAATTTATCTATTATTTTACACGATAATTAGTGATTAAACTAGTCTTTAAATATGTTATATCAATCAACAAATTTTTAAATAAGAAATACCTTTCCATCAACTGTATCGTTATTACAAATTATTTTTATTATAATTTTAGAAAAAAAATATGTACTCTTTTGAATTACGTGAAAAATATCAATTAAGTGTTACAAATATTCAAATTGATAAAAAATATTTCGTTTAATTAAATTCAGTTGTAAAGAAATAAAATGTAACTTAGTCATTTTCATCAATTCTACTAAATAGGAGTACTTATACTAAGCTAAGGTTATCTTTTGAATTCCATGCACTTCTCTTCAGTTCTTAATAAAAAGAAATTATATTAATCGTACAAAGCGTTGTGACCGCTCGAGCACATGGTTAGCACATATTAAGGGTGGCTGATCATATTCTCAATATATTTTTCAAGTATTGACTATTTATATATATATATATATATCTGTATATGTACTATACATTTTATGCAGTACAATTTAAGCAGCATATATATATATATATATTTATGATAAACATCTGTGCATGAATGTGTATGTTTGCTGAATGTGTATTGCTTAGGAAAAGAGCGGGATACTTCGAATTTGGACGTAGAAATTAATCTGTTGTTTCATAATCCGCTTTGCGTGATATATTACCAATCGTCTGTGAAAAAGATAGAAGATATCTGCAAACGGAAAAAGAAGTATCGGCTTCCAGGACAAATTAATCTTGATGCTCGGGAAGTTTTATCGACATGGGACCATACTGCCGAGGCTTTGGCATTAAGATGTATAGTTGGAGCATCTTGAATTGTGACTTGTATCTACTATTCCATACAGAAAAGTTAAAAATAATAAAAGCTCCAATACATTGATAAACACTAATACATTCAACGAAATACATTACATATTAAATCAGTTTTTTCAAAAATATTGATAAATATTTAAGGGTAAAATAATATGTATATGTTTAGTATATTTATATATATTTATATTACGTAATACTTATAAGAAAAAAGTAAAATATCAGTACTATGCACAGAGAAATTGCTAATATAAATAAGAAAACATTTATATTTCAAATTTGGATTTCATTTATTCATTAACAACAGTTTTAAATACTTACAATACAATTATTGTGTGCTATATACAGATGAGATATTTACAAGGATGTATTGTAACAATATTTATATAACTATATCAAAGTATTAACAATTTAATGTGATCATAAATTATTTGCATAAACGAAACAGAAATAAAAATTTGATCTTACATAGTAAGGAGTGACTTGAAAAGGTATTATAATACAATGTTTGTTCCTAATACTAGTTGGTATCGTATATTTTATGTATTATCTATAGATAGTTTTCAATAATTGAACATTCAATTCTCAAAGCTTCTTCTTCTCAGAGAAATTACTGTTATGACTTTCGTAATTTTAAGATCAATTACATATTTAAAAGGAAGCGTTTAAATAGCATTGTTATACAGCTGTGCTTACTTTCTCTATTTATTACATTGGATTCGTGTACTTAAAAAAATTTTAGTATTAACATTAACACGTGTGTAGTGCAAATAAAAGCTAAAATTAGTGAATTGTCCAGAGGTAAAAAAATTTAAATGCTCAAATGAAGAATATGAATTCGACAAAGAGTGAGATTTTCAGAATAAGCAAATGTAAAATCGTGTCTCCACCAATACGAGAGGACAGAGTAAAATCTGCATCCTAACAATAACTCGCGTACTTCGGATTTTAATACGAATAATAAACCTTATTGCAGTAGTTCACCCGCGAAGCATCAAGAGCGGCTGCGCTACGTCCGAGGCGCGCACTCACCGCACATTTGAAACTCCATGCGCGCCTGATTCAGTGTTTCAAATTAAATGGAGTGTGAGAGGCAGATAACAAACCAACGCTGTTTCCGATTATGACATTCATTGTTTCCCACCATTATGTGCGCTCCGACGGCTCGCGATGCAACTCCTCTCTCGCTCAGTGAGAGGCAGATAACAAACCAACGCTGTTTCCGATTATGACATTCATTGTTTCCCACCATTATGTGCGCTCCGACGGCTCGCGATGCAACTCCTCTCTCGCTCACTAAGCAATCTCTCTCTCTCTCTCTCTCTCTCTCTCTCTCTCTTATGCTTTACGATCGATATATTGCACGCATAGCGCGATCCGACGATTTATACCGTGTTTACCATTCCAACTCCTCCAATGAAACATCGCCAAAATCACATTATAGTATTTCGTGTAAACGTGGCTTACTCTTGGTTTACACTCGTGAAACCATGTTTACATTGCTTCGAGAGCGTACGTTATTTGCCGCGAACTTTTATTTTGAAAATCTTCTAGATAGAGTATTTTCTAATTAATAATTTTATCGATTGTTATGATTTAATGGAATCATTGAAAAAATTAGCATTAAAAAAACTTAGATAACGTAATGATGATATTTCTTAACTATGTTAAAAAAGCACACCATAATTATTTTATTAAATATTAAGATGAAAACTGTTTTATCCCATTGGCCCTTGAATTTAATTAAATAAAAATTAATGCACCTTGATCTACGATTCAAATGACTAGATTTTGTAAATGCAAGTAGATGACTTTTATATTATTTTTAAGTTTTAGAACATGTATACGATATTCATAAAGCACACTATATATTTTGATATACTTTTCATATTTTAAATAAATACATATTATCACCGTTTAATAAATTTTCTCCCGTTTTTGAGCATCTGTGAGAAAATGCCTGAGTCCTAGCGTCCTAGCATAAACAGAATATATACAATTTTAATCGCATACTTATATTTAGTATTGACTAGACGGGAAGAGTCCTTTTGAAAAGGACACATTTGCTGCATAAATACCTAGAATTAAAGCCGATTTGTCTTTTTCTCGTTACGTCAGTTTCTATAATAATCTTATCAATAGCATATGTGAAAAATTAAACAATAAAAAAAAACATAATAAAATTTTATATTAGTCACTTTTTCCTTTCTTTCCATGTACGAAGGAGTAATGCATTTTTTGCGTGAAACTTTTGTATTTGAAAACGAACTGAGTTTAAGTATTAAATAAAATTTAACACGATGAGGATATCGTATCAATGTCACGAAAAATGCTTTATCATTTTTCCAGCTATTGTCCAATTGACAATTTGATCAATCAAAATGAATTTTCATGTCTCTATAAAATAAATCTCTATAGAATGTATAATACTGTCTAGGATTTCGGAGACACAGTGCAGGAACAGATTGATGGTCGAAAGACTAATCGGCTTCGACGAAGCGACCAAGATTTTCGTAGTTCCCGTGGGCTTTACGACGTCACTTCCCATGGAGGAGTGTCGCGGCGGATCGCCTCTTAATCTCAACTTGATCGACCACTGCGTCGCTCTCCTTGTCCTGATGAGCGGTCATGTGCCTCGTTAGATGATGTCTTTCTCGAAAGCTTTCATCACACACTGGGCAGCGCAGCTTCTCCTCTCGCCTTCTGCGTGCCGCCTCGCCCACACTCTCGTTTTTGTGATGACTACGCATATGGTAAACTAAATCGGACGTCATGCGAAAGGAGAGATTGCACTTGGCGCAAACGTTTTGAGCCGGTAGAGCGAGGGCGGCGAAGGAGGAGGGCAAAAGCCCAGCGGCGAGGAAGCGAGGCCTCACCAGGGCATCACCAATGGGCGGAAAAACCGTGGACAATGAATTGTAAGGTAAGTTCGGATAAACAACCGAGGGCAGCTCGGGTCTGAATCCAGTATTTGGGATTTTCGGGCTTGGTACCTTTGGCGGTGTTTGATTTGCCAAATGCTGACCGAGCTTCAGTTTATCTAATAAAGTTGTTTGCTGACTATCCGGGGACATCAAAAAGGGATACGGCATCTTCGTAGGGAAGGGGGATGCGTACTTGTTGTTGAATGATCCCCCGCTGCCGTTGCTGGATGACATGGCAATCGGTGGACTGAGACTATTTTGGTAGGTAATGACGTCCGGGGAAACAGATGATCTTGGCGAGCCCGTGCCGTCCTCGAAATTGATATTACTAGAGCCGGGACTCACGCCCATTAAACTGCCGCGTTGAACCGCTAGATTGACTTTAGTAAATGCACTTCTGGTATCCCCTTGCAGTCTGTCGAGGCAAGACATGTTCTCACAATTGCTCTTGTTGCGAGATCCTGGTATCATTAGAGTTTGACCAATTGGCCGATCGTTGTTCTTCTCGTCGACAAAGACTTTGCGAACGTGGAGAGTTCTTTGAAAAACACCAGGTGGACTTGGACTCTTTTGAATGTGTACCGATTCAGCGTAAAGGTGAGGTGTAAGATGCGGTTCGGGTGACAAACTCGACGAGTTTGATGTTAATCTTCGCTTCATTGTAACATAGGGTGATAAGGTAGTCTGCTTATCCTCACACCGTCTTATTTTAAACTTCGACGCTTCGATACTTTCAAAGTGTTTAATCGTCATATTTTGCGGTATTTTATCGCTCTGCTCGTACTCGTGAGAGTCATCGACTTGATCATCAGTAACGGATCTTTCATGTTGTGTGATGGAATCGTTCACAAATTGATTAGTGCAAAACTGGAGGTTCACGAGCTTCTCCGATTGCCGCTTTATCATTTTTTCATCGGGTGCAACGAGAAATGCGACGTCAAAAGAGCGTTTGCTAGTTCGTTGAAGAGGATAGGAAGCGTCTGTTGTGCGTTCATATGCTTTGATCTTGGGATTATTCGAACCATTAGTTGTATTAATTGTAGCACCAGTCGAAATAACTGGAGAGCCATCCTCGATACCGCTAGAGCGTTCTTCCATTGTCATCGTGCTGGTAATGCTGTGTGCAATTGTCTCTACTTAGCTATCTTTTCAAAATCTTCGTTTAGGCCTGCCAAAGTAATTATAATTTCATTACCATACACGGCATTGGATACATAATCAATGATTAGCTCATTAAGGATAGGCTGTAGTTCGTTAAAAAGACTTACCATACGCTGTCGTGTCTTCGAATAGTTCCGATTGTGGTTGCAAAAAGAAGAAGTTGAGAGGTCGAGCGCGGCTGTCTTGTGCTGCATAGAAGACTCGGCCGTTCACGCAGGCGCAGTCGCACTCATGTCACCGTAAGAGACGTGCGCCCGCAAACTGTCGACGAGCACCTCGGCGCCTGTACAAAGCAATGCTGGGCAAGTGCGCGCGCACCAATGATACAGCACCACCGCCGGTCCACGTTCAAGTGAGCGGCCAGAGCCACGCATCCCTATATTTAGGGGTTAAAGCGGGCGTCGAGAGACGCCAAGCGGCGAGCGGCAGGTGGAGACGCGGTCGCGGGCTCAGGGGCCGCCAATGGGGCGCAGCCAGGGGTGGAGCATCGGACCGCCGTGACGGGGGGGGCGGCGAACATATTCGTCCGCGGCGACGCGTCCGCCGCGCGGAGCTGCGCCCTGGCCACGCCTACATATTTTAAGGTTCGACACATGTGTGCCCGGGAGCGCGCGGCCCCGTGCCGCTTGCGGCGAACCCTATGGAGTTGGTCCTTAGCCCATCGAACCTTCATTGCCGCTCCCCGCTCTCATCCGCCTACGCGACCATGGCTACTCAACCACACAAGTGCTTGCAAACGCGTGCGGCCTCAGGGATTCGCGTAAATTCCGGCCTGAAAAACGATGTTGAATATATTTTCGATGTCACGCCCCGCCTCCGCGCCGCACTCTCCGATACCTTCTTCATCGTTATTTATTTACACTTTAATTTTCCACTTTTATTTACGGTTATCAAGTTTTACCGGCTCAATGACTTATTATATCCAATAATAAGGACTAACATTTTGTAGAGAAGGTACCTTAGTTGTTTATTGCTTTGTACAATCCGTATTTCGTCATTACGCATCTGTTTGTTTCGCCATTTTAAATACTAAAATTAAGCAGCCTGATTAAATTTGTGCTGATTAAATCTTGCTTATATTAATTGTAAAATACTGCAATGTATTTTCGCGAATTTATGAGCCTTTGCCACACTAGTTTAACATTTAGTTTATGAAATAAAAGATTACCGTGGAATATTTTAAAAAATCTTTTAATTACCTTAGCTGCAAGTAGCTTAGCTTATTTAAACAAAACAAATACATTCATTAATGGTGACTGTATCAAAATAAAAAAAGAAATATAAATTGTTCTAAAATTAAAATAGCCAAATTGCAAGGGTTAATAAGCCATAAGTTGGTAAACAGTAAGAATTTGTCGACATGTTTAGAAAAGCATAAAAGAGCAGGTCTATCACTAGCTGAATCCAATAGGTAATCAATCATAAGTCAACTGGGTGGCCGCAAACTATCTATTTTTTCCGGCATGCGAGACCCGTCGACTTTTTCATGTGAAACTTGCAATCCCTATTGGAGAATCCTTCCGAGGCTTTTTCAGGGATCGAAAGACATTAAGTCCATGATATGTTCGAGAAAAAGTTATAATGACTTTTTGAGTGGTTGTTACTCAAGTTAACCTTAGGGATTTGCACCTGTTTATTAAAAACGAATCTAGTAGATGCTTCTCGTCCTTTAAAAAGCAACTAAAAAATATAGTTATAGTTATGAACTGTGACTTTTTCGTTGAATAATGCTGCATTTCATGAACATTTGTCCTGGTCTTTTATATGAATAAAGTATCTGGCACCACATTTTATTTTTCGAAGGAAATAAGGCAGCGGTCCGTGAGAAATTGATGTTTCTACTTCTTCAGCAAGTGAAAATCATTAATCAAGCAAGCGTTAATGCATATTTGATAAACGGCTCTTTCTCTTAGTACTTTGTATACGTGCTATTGCCGTCCGTTCCTTCACTCTCAATTTAAAATTTCTAGATTATTCTTGTGAGGCAATGCATTATCTTTTAATAATAATTTTGTGATACATCCAAAAAAATTTTATTAATATAATAGATCATTAATAAGTATTCAAAAAGAAATATTACACCTGTATGACTTAGGGTGCTAAAAACGTAACTGAATCTTCCACTTGAGTCGGTGACAAATTGAATGCGTGATGATGTCGTGAGATTATTGAAATAAGGGACGTAATGTTACACTTCTTTCTATTTTCTTGCCTGCTAAACTTTTCTCTACTATTTTTTACTTGCTCCTTCTTCAATCAATTCTTAATTGATTATCTATACAAAATTTAATTTTTAATTCTCTTAATTGATCTCTTTCTCTTAATTAAACTCTTAATTGTTCTTTTGTTTCAATAAATCAATTTCTTCTAATGGTATTTAGGAAAATTTAAAGGACATTTTAAATAATACAATTGCTTACAGTGAAATAAGTATTTAAAAAATTATCGGCCTTTCAAGACAAAAAAACAAATAAAAAAATTTTTTAAATTGAAATTAATTTTTTTATTAAATATTGTATTTAACTAAATTTCTATAACCACTTGTTTAACTTGTAATAAATAATTATTTATTTAAATATTTTTATTATATAATGTTGTAGATATTGATCTCCATTAAACTAGATTTACTAGATGTAAATTATTTAATTTTTATTTCTTTTCAGAGTTTTTCTGTGTGAATTTATAATTCACACAGAACATTCTGAAATTATAAAATTATTTTTGTTTATATAAAAGTTGCTCTATTATTAATAGTGTTTCTAGTATTGTTATTATTAATATTAATTAGATTCGACAAAGTTGTCATAGTTGTACGTGTAAAGATTCAAGATTACATTATTATTATTACTTCAGTTAACTGCAATGTAAATTATATACAGCGCGTAAAGGCGTTTCGGTAAGATATTCACGTAACACATAAGCGAGCCACTCTACACGCGAGCGCAGTTGCTGTGTGCACAGAGATAACATACAAAGAGAAAGGGAAAGACAGAGAAAGAGCCTATGAAAGAAACAGAGAGGAGAAGTCAGCATCTTACTCTGATACCTATTTGAAATATAATTCGCCAGTGCTGCTCTTCCTCTCTCCATTTATAGTGTTTATGATAAGAATCATTGGCGAATAAGGCAAGTGCACTTTATTACTGCCATTATACATATTTTCATAAAATATTTTACCAACCAAGCAGAATTTTAAAGAGTTCTCGTGTATTGCATCATTTAAGAAAGAACGATGCATCTTCATAGAAATATTAAAATATCAGCTTAAACGTACCTGTTCGTACTATAAAACATATTTTAATTTATTTTCCCACTATTCGCATGTGAAATAATTATTAAGTTGAATATTTTATTACTATACCGAAAATTTATGTCTTAATGTAATACTTTATACAAATATAATATATACCGTTATAAACAGTTTACGATTTGTATTTTAATACTCAGTAAATTTGTAAAATTTATATGCTTCGGAATATAAAAATTGTAGATCTAATAATATTGATGTTTGAATTTTATCTGCATATGTTCTACTCCTTTGTAATGCTTAGTAATGATATATCTCATTTATTTGACATTATAAACTAATGCATTTGATTATTACAAAATAAAATATTTTCAGTTATTTTAAGAAAACTTTTCCATGCTTATACCTATTTAATTTAATAATATCCTACTTAATTAAAAATAAAATTGTTCTCTTCATAAATTATATTATATAAAAAATTTAGTAATAAAATACATTATTTTAGATAGTCACTTATCAAAATGATCATACATTTCATTAACGACAAAAAATGACAGAATATATGAACCAATAGCTTTATATGAATTAATCTTTAGTCGCATTAGAATCGCGACAACGCACACAGAGTAAAGCTTTCGATCTAAGTGGAAATCAAGTGCTGCTTGAATGACGATAGAACTATCCCTTCTGTATCCTAAATAGCGCCACTACTACTGTGCGAGATGACAAATACACACGTTCGCACCGAGTTAACGACGCGTCTAAATAGGCATACTCCATCTATCATGAATGATGACTGGCACGTAGAGCGAATTGCAACGAGCACTCAAGCGTTTCAAGTGCCGCTGCCTTTCCTCGTTACAGCCTCAATCTCCTTGTACTTATATACATACGTATACGAGTATGAATGAGAAATGTATTTTTCAAATCATAACCGTTTGTCGAAATGCACTTGAATTGTCTGAATAACAAATACAGTTGTTCTTTGGTGTTAATGATCTTATTACAGAAATAAGTTTAATTGTTTAATATAAAACAAAATAAATAATAACTTGAAAAATGTTTTGATCAATAGAATATAACTAATGACTACAATTGGTTCCAATAATAAATAATCATTTTGTTATAAATCTTACATTCAAGTTATAATTTTCATTTTCTGTCAAAATAATTTTGTGGTAAAAAAGAACTTTCCGTAAAAGTTATGATTAATTATAATTATCACTAAAAAATTCTTCATTGTCATAATTGCAATTTTTTTCATGAATATTAATAGTATCAATGTATTATTATTTGAAGCTATATAAATATTAAACTTTCATATTTCATAAAAATTGGCAGATTATTTTATCGATGTTCCAAAATCTATCATCATATGAAATATCTAGAGTTTTGTAATAAAACATTGTAATATTGTAAATAAAATAACGGAAATAAAGTATAAGGTGATAAAGCGTGTTTTGAGTTAGGCCTCAAAGGACAAGAAACATTAATTTCTACTATACAATATTTGATGTAGATTGTATAATTACTGAGGTAATGCAAAACAGGTGCTGTGATTATTTAAATAGATAAAAATGCAAAAGTTCCTCTTTTTAATTTTCGCGTCACAGTTTATAAAGTCTCAAAGGCCGAGAAAAAGGGACATCCTCCGCTATGAAAAATGTTCTCAAAGCCAGATTTCTCGTGAGGACGGTAGCCAGTCGGTCATTAAAAAATTCACAAATGCACTTTTTTTG